TGTCAACGAAATAAGACAAAGTGATTGAGAATTGATTTTGTATATCACCGGAAAGAGATGAGATTGATTATGGTGTTTGTGTAAGAAGAAGATGAAACGGTAGGAGTTAGATTTTTTCCATTGTTTTTAATTTCTCAAAAGAGAAATGAGATCTGAGAAAAAAGTTTTGAGATCTAAAAAAAATAATGGACAAAAAAAACTGAAATCTGGAAAAAAAAATGGACAGAAAAAAAAACTAAAAAATTCAAATTAAATAAGTCAAATGACAATATGAGAATACTGAAAAAGAAGGATAGCATGCTGGCATAATTAAAAAGTGGCATTAAACATGTAGTATATCTTAAAATTTTTCATTTTAAAATTCAATGTTATTAAACTTGTAATTCGAAAGATTTAAGTTTTCTTATCACGTTTCTTTAAAAAACAAAAAAAACAAAGATTTTAATGGTAACAGTTTTTATTCTCTGTATAGTTTTTATTTTAATGGTTAAGTCTGAACTGTCTGACTCCTAAATTGTGTTAGACTGAACTTAGGCTCCTATTCTGGATTTTTGCACTTTTTGTCACAATTATATATACCTTTTAGCGAATCTAACTTATCCACATAAAAGATTGTATGATAAATATGCAAATGACATTTGTAAAGCCGGTGTTCTTGGTAGCTTGCAAATGAGCTGGAGAAAAGTTTCTGTGATCAATATTGTGGTTTTGATCATACTTCTTGTCTTCTATGTGATCGCTTATGCGGCTTACCGGAATCCTAAGAAAATTGATAACGATGAACCGGCTGGTGAGGCAAGGATGACCAAATCTCATAGTATAACAGTTTTACAAGGTCCAGAAGCAGATATGATATTTCATCTAGAAAACCAAAAATGGTATGCATCACATTGTCTCATCTAAAATTGAACATAATTGTTTAGACTGATATGGTAAATCAAAACCAGTACTCGATTAACCGGGAACGGTTGGTGAAGGGGTTTTCAAATCACTTACAGTGGTAACATTTAGTTTTGAATTCGTAGTTTCATCTTCACGACTGAGTTCTGGACTCCATCTACTTATTGTCCGTTCTTCCACTGTGTACATATCCAAACAGGAAGGTAGATCGAATCCTCTGCTTTGAAGTTACCATTGACGTAGACAGCCAATAGCGTTTTCGCAACACTTCCACTTAACGGAACAGCGCAATGGATATCCGAAAACACTCTTAACTGGTCACTGTCACCAGACTGAACCAAAACCGAGTACTCAGAGTGGACAAGAGATGGATGGTGTCGGTACGCCACGAAATCCACGCCATATTGCAAACCGGATCTCAAAACCCAGTTCTTGGATCGTAAATGCGAATAAGCTTTGAAAGATATTGGAAAGTTTGGTCTTTTTGATTTCATGTAGTGCCATGTGTCTACTTCATCCTCCAAGCAAGAACCTTGAAGGGAGATTCTGATGCATTTGAGATTATGGAGCAAATAAAAAGCTTCTTCAAAAGATAGCTGAATCAATTTCTTGACTTTCTCTGAGGATAGTACGAGTCTACCAAAACAACATCGGTCGAGTAACACAGCTTGCTCTGGCTCAACCATTAGAAGCACATTGCAACTCGAGAGTGAACCAGATGGGTCTGTTTTGGACAGAGAGAGCTTGAGCTCTGAGATTGAGTTTGAAATAGGTTCTGTAAGAGCTTTTGCTTCAGCACCTTTCCATTTCCATCTTGGAGCCATGGAATTGAGCTGCGTATAGCACTAAAGATCAAACCTTTAAAACATAAACATAAATAAATCATACAATGTTGAATAAAAGATGATAAAGTTATGCTTATGCTAAGGCCCTGTTCGTTTCGGCGACTGCGACCAGCGTGTCGCTGAGTTGTTCCTTTTGTAGTCGCTGCAACTGTCGCTATATTGTTGGTTTGTTTGTCGCTGCGATTGATCTACATTTTTATCAAAACCAACCAAGGATCTACGAATGGTGAACCACTATAGCATATATCTAAAGGCATATAATAATCATATCACAAACTGTACACAAGACCCATAGAGAAAAACATCCAACTACAGGACAAAGAAGAAGACACAGCCAATTGATTCAATTTCTGTGTAAAAATAGATTCACCATCAATCACAAAAAGAATCAAATTAACAAGTCAATGCTATCATAAGTGATGAAACTAGAAAAAGACAGATAAAACCAGGTGGATGATTATGAATGATTTATTCAAAGTGGGTCTCGAATAAATGGTTCATTCAATTCAAACGTAATATGAAAACAAGAGAATGGATTATGGGCTCATTATAACAAGGTTTCAATGGATCCTCTACACAAAAGGAACATTCAACTTAACACCCCGGAGTATAAAAACCAGATGAGATTAATCAGACCCAGAACTAGAAGAGATTTTAAACGGGTTTAGAGAAACACAGATTTCAAACGGAAGAAAACGGATTTCAAACAAATCAATCGAGAGTTTTACACAGAGGAAACGCAGAGAGAGAACCCAAACCTAACTC